ATTCCCTTCAGTGACTGTAGGGCAAAAGGAATAGAATCGCGCGCCTCTATTTCTTCTTCCTCTATCTCTTCCTTCCTATCTCTTCTATTCCTTCTTGTCCTGCTACCGTCATGGGAGGTACATTTTTTGGCCTTTAAGATAGTCTGATGCTGTGAGTTCTGCATCGACACGAATGAAAATGTTCTAGTCGTCTTTGTACGATACCAAATTTGTAATTTCTTGCCACTCGAAATGGGTAGAAATGCTCTTGTCCTGCTTTTCCTCTTGCCGCAAGTCACGTTGATACAATCCGGGTTTTCGGAAACATTTTGCGATTGTTTCTGCGACATTAATTATTTTAAAATTACTAACAAAAATGACCATACCATTTAATTTCAATACTCAAGAAACCAATCCCTTAATATCAACGGTGAAAAGCCTTCCCTCACACAACTTCTTTAATTGTGATACCCGAGGTTTCCAAGAAAGATAAGAAAACCATTCAACTCTACAAAATAAAATTACCTGGCTCCGGCAGTTAATAATTACTAACATTACTTCTTATTTACCTATTTTAACATTACCTACTTTACCTATTTCTAATAACCCTGTTGTTAATGAGAGCATTCTCACTTCATTAAACATGTAACAGTCTTTGAGTTACAGGTGTGTATATCGTGCTGCTTCCGATCCGAAATAATATACGGAAGCTCTGTGAAAATGCTTCTATAACGCTGGTGCAGTTTCCGTAAGTGTTTGTTGGATAGTCGCCCATCTTCCCGGAATCGATCCCGTGGCCTGCCTACGAGCGCGGGTTCGTGCGCGGGCGAGGGGACCGCGTCCCGGAAGCCACGTGTGGCGCCCTCGAAGCAGGAGTGGGGACGCGGTGGGGGCGGCGGGGAGCAAGGACGTTGTCGCGGCGTGACCTCAGCTGACGCACGCCCCGCTCGCTCGCGCGTGTGTGCGCTCGCGCACGCGTGTATCCGTGGGACCACGAGCGGGCGCTCTCGGTTTATTGCCGTGGTTTATGGAGCGCGGGCCAGCGGCCCCTCAGACGCTTCGGCGAAGGAAGTGAGCGCCTCGCCGCCGTGTGACTGCGCCACGCGCCGAGCCGCTCTTTTTGTGGCGGCCGCTGGTGGCGTTAATGCGGCTTAGTCGCGGGCGTTTGGTGCCGCTTGGCTTTCGCCGGCGTGCGTTTTGATCTCCCCGCTTGTTAGAGCGTTGGAGAGAAGATGCGGGAAGGGCGACACAGTTTTGAAGGTCGTTCGATGCCAACGCAATACACATAAAAGAGAACTCTCAAGTGATTATCTTTCAAGTCTGGGATTTTCTTCAGTATACATAACCATGAAGGCTCGATGTTCCTCCGTAATTGTAATTTTCATGATACCATCTCGTGGTGTTGGAAGTTGATCTTGATACTTCGTCCAAGAATATGCGATATTTTTTAACATCGATCCAGCCCCCTCCAAACACGTGATTCAGAAGAAACACCCTCAATTTAAGTAAAAAGTAGTGATCAGATCAGGGTATTCAAAGAAAATAATAAATATATTTCTATAATTGATGACAAAAATATTGTAAAATTGTCTTAAAACCTAATGTATACATGTTTTCATGTTTTTTATTATTTTCTATAATTTCTTTCATCTCGCGTGTTGAATTCTATTACACAGCTGTTACGATAAATCAATAAATGGGGTTTCAAAAGCGGATTTTTGTTTAAAATGAGAAATAATAAGATCGTACATCTTCAAATAACCATGTAATGATAAATTGATTGTAATGCTTCCTCTTCGTGGAAGGAGAACGAGTTTAACGACCTTCGACTGAGTATGTGCAGGAGTGTGGTGCAACTGCAGTTGCAATCGTGTTCTACAGGATATCGTGCAGAATGAATTACGTGATAAACATGTGTTCCACTTTGTTGCCAATAATGAGATGTTTCGTTAGAATCAGAACAATAGAAAAGGTTCTCAATAGGCGGCGGTTAAAATGTATTACGTATCGAATAAGGAATTATGAGCATTATTTGGTAGAAGCAAAACTTGTTTTTGGTTCAGAGAAAGTATTACAATTTGGAAGAAATAGATGTCGAGATTGTGACGAAAATACGCTCTTTTAATACTGAAGAAAGAGGCATTTCTTTCTTTACAAATGTTCGTCTGGATATCCACAACCAAGTGCCTTAACTGCTTGCAATATTTACTCTAAACGCAATATTCCTCGATCATTTTCGCCGAATTCGAGGCCCTGCGAGTTTAAAAATCTTCTTTAATCTTAATTTTTTAGGGGACTTATTATACGAGTAGGTTAATTTCAAGTGTTTCTCAAAAATGTCTTTACATTTTTCTTTAAATTTTTTTTGCTTGAATAGAGCTGGCCTTCTTCTTTAGGATTAAAGGTAGTTTTCTCTTTTAATACTTTATACTATTCAATATTTCATCTTTATATATTTTGTGTGCTATTATTGTTTTTAATATAAGTATTGTTTGCGAATTATTGAGATAATATTCTGAGGTGTCTGAACCAACAGATCATTGACAATAATTCGTAAGAGCTGATAAGCCACAGTGTGCAATAGCTCAAGGTTGCGATGCCGTCGTGAACTGAAGATCTTGGGTTAGAATCCTAACACTCATAAAATATTTTTTTCTCTCTTAAATATTTTTGTAATCATAAACTGCAAAACACTGAATTCAAGTGCCATTTTCATTTAAAAAAATTAATTTTCAAAAATTAAAGATAAGATTATTTTAGAATGTCTCAGTCGTCGTTTCATTAAGTGTTATTCAAAAGGAGGGTGAAGTGTTACCAGATCTGAAGTTGCTATATTATAAAACTACAGTTACAGTTAATGCGATAAAATAAAGGCTGTTGAACACCATGGCAGTTGAAGCAGAATGACAAAAGTCATGGGATATCAATATACAAATATACAAATGACAGTAACTCGTACAAAAGGTACAAAACGCCAGCGCGTTGGCAGAGTTTTGATTTGTACTCAAGTGACTCATGTGAAAACGTTTCTGACATGATTATGGCCGCGAACGGGAATTAAGGCTTGGCAGTTGTAGCTACACGCATGGGGCATTCCATTTGGGAAATCGTTAGGGAAATCACTATTCCGAGATTCACAGTATCAATAGTGTGCCAAGAATACCTAATTTTAGACGTAACCTCTCACCACGGACAACGCTGTAGCCGGCGGCCTTCACTTAATGACTGAGAGCAGCGGCGTTTGCATCGAGTTGCCAGGAAGACAGACAAGCAACACTGTGTGAAATAACCACAGAAATCAATGTGTGACGTACGACGAACGTATCCGTTGGAACAGTGCGGTGAAATTTGTCTTCAATGAGTTATGGCAGCAGGAGATCGACTGGAGTGCCTTTTCTAACAGCAAAACATCGCCTGCAGCGCCTCTCCTAGGCTTGTGACTATATCGATTGGACTTAGACGACAGAAAAATAGTGGCTTGGTCAGATAAGTTCCTATTTGAGTTGTAAGGAGCTGATGGTAGGGTTCCAGTGTGGCGTAGAACACATGAAGCTATGGACCCTAGTGGTCAAGAAGGCTCTGTGCAAGCTGATTGTGACTCCGTAAAGGTGTGGGCTGGTTGTTCATGGAATTGATAAAAAATTATAAACAATTACGTGGAGGCCATTTGCAACATTCACGGACTTAATGATCCCAAATAACGATGGGATTTTTATGGATGACAATCCGCTATGTCTTCGGGCCATAATTGTTCGCGACTGATTTGATGAACATTCTGAACAATTCGAGCGAATGATTTGGCCATCCAGATTGTCCGACATGAATCCCATCGAACATTTATGGGACGTAATGGAGAGGTCAGATCGGGCCCAAAAAGTTTACACCAGCATACTTTCGCAATTATGAACGGCAATGCAGGCAACATGAATCAATATTTCTGCAGGGGACTGCCAATGACTTGAGTCTATTGTAACGTATTAGCCAGCGTGCCTCATGGCATCTATTTGGGGACGCTTGGAAGAGGATAGGGCCTAGCCACAGGAAGTAGGGTTTTTCCGTAAAGGAAGAACGCGAGGAACGGAGACACAAGGGCCTTTGGGATATCCGGCCTTCTAGAAAACTTTTCCTGTTCATAAACAAGCGCAGGGCGGTGGCGTGACGTAGTAGGTCACGTGGGCCTCGCTAATAACAAGAGTGTACAGAGCCAGTGGGTGGCTTACTGAGAACAGTGGCAGACCTGCTAACCTCCGTGCGTGTGCAGCAAACTTGGCGCCAGCGACGGATTGCATATGCGAGCCAGGCTCCGAGGCTCGGAGTCAGTAGTTGACGAAGCACGCGGACTTTTGGTCCTGGTGACTGCGGTCACGGGGGGGGAGGCGATGCCTGTGTGCGTGCTCGGCGAGGTGAAGTGGTTGAGTGCACGATTCACGCCGATCTCATCGGAGAGATCGGTCTGCGATCGAGGCAAACCAGCCGTTGGTGCGCCAGAACGGACTTTGGTCCCACGTGCACTCGTCACGGAAAGCTAGGTTTGTTGGCGCGCTTAAAAGTAGGAGTGGCGATGCCACAATCAAAACTCATCTTCAACTCGGGTTTTTGGATCGCTCCCGCGATCCAGGGGATAGTAGGTCTATCAGAGCTAGGGTGTAAGTAGGATATTAAGTGTTAATTTGGTTTTGTTTTTCTTTGTTAATAAATATACGTTGTTAACGAAAAGCTCTGTGTCTGTGGTCGCTGTGAGTATCCATGACGTCACACTATACTACATCGAGTTTCTGCATTTCACCGGGCAAAAGAAGGTCCGACACGATACTAGTTTTCCCATGACTTTCGTCATCTCAGTATAATGTAGAATCAGATATCATAGTGCGATAAGAGACTGATCACGTGGTCGTGGGTATCCTTTCCCTCCGGCGTGCACGTATGCGTGCATATATTATGTAAATGAGCTGAGACACCGGTCGCATCGACAAATCCCAACTCAACTATCCATTAGAATAACCAAACCACCGGGAGACCTGATGCGCGGGTTTCGTACTTGTTGCTCGGCGCTGCCCAGCGAGTCGGATGCGAAGAGATCGATTCGCGCGTCCGCACGCGAACCTCCTCGGGGCTCGGGCGCCGCGCCCGCGCACCGGTCACGCCAGGTTGCAGCACTGCGGCGCACCCGACCCTCGACCTTTGACCGGCGGCGGACGCGCGGCGCCCGCCTGCTGGATGGCCCGTGCACTGCTCGAGCAGCGTTTATGGGGGCTGTGAATTTGGGGAATTATGATTGTTATCCGATTGTAGGGAAAAGTAGAGCTACAATTAGATTAGTTTATGGTATTACTGCAAATGTCAATGGTATTACTGAAAATGATCCGTCGTAGTGTTTTTGTCGGCAATTCAGCAATTTCCTGAAATGGAATTGCTGCTAATTTTTATCTTCCTGTTATTCTGGTGCTAAATACCGTTTTGCAAGTTTGTGAAATATTGAACTTTTATTATTATTATTATTATTATTATTATTATTATTATTATTATTATTATTATTATTTCAAAGGCTCTGGAAATACTGTGCTTGATGACAAACTGATATAATATACCTCCAAATATGTGGTGTTTGATAAAACTGTGGTCTCCGATTTCATGTTCTGCGTTTCTGATCTTCCGTTGGAAATGAGATAAAAGTATTCCGGACATTGTCCATTATCTTCTGCGTGATGCGTTAATCAAGCACAAAACATTATTTGAATAATGGTTTCAGCTGGACTGTTTATACACAGTTTCTTCATTTACGTGGATTCCCAACTTAGCGCCTGTGGGAAGCATGTGAGGCACGTGTTACATAAATGGAAAATAAATTCCTTGTGTATCCTTCATTTATTTTCTCATCATAATCTGTGATGCGTGCGGTGACCATCTGTCATGAGTTCTTGTTTTTTCTCATTAGTGCTTGTGAAAAAATGGTGTCTTCATGCAAATTTCTAGCTCTCTATATGGTCTTCCTGCAATACATAAAATAAGTAAATAGGATAATATTTCCGGAGCTCGTGATCCTGTAAAAATCTACAAAAAAATTCACAGCCCTACCAATGTACGTCAAATAAGATGGAACATATTTTATTTAATAATCATACGAGTTTCATGTTGATCGTCTTTAATTCAAGAATATATAATTATAATAATGCATTAGATCCCTCTAATGCTTTTAAATTATGAAAGGCAACATCCTGTGCAAAACAAATCAATTCGCTGATACACAGGTGCTGGAGTGTGGATTATTCAATTCGTACAATATTAGCTCACTTAATTTTAAAGTTCGTAAACAGGAAAACCAAGGAACTTGTCCTGTGTCCTGTGTCCTTTTTTCACAGTAATATATCGAAAATGAAGAAATGTAGGCTTTCTTACTAAGATTCAGAAATACAATTATTAGAGGAGTTGAAAGCTGTGGAGACGGGACATTCTGTTGAAGAATCAAGAGGATCAAGCAAAGACATTGTCTTGGTTTTAAGAACGTTTACTCTTCCTTCCTTCCTTCCTTTCTTTCTTTTTCTTTTTTTCTTTCTTGTTCTCTTTCTTTCTTTTCTTTCTTTCTTTCTTTTCTTTCTTTCTTTCTTTCTTTCTTTTCTTTCTTTCTTTCTTTCTTTCTTTCTTTTCTTTCTTTCTTTTCTCTTTCTTTCTTTCTTTTTTCTTTTCTTTTTCTTTCTTTCTTTTTTTCTTTTCTTTTTCTTTCTTTCTTTTTCCTTTTCTTTCTTTCTTTTTCCTTTTCTTTCTTTCTTTCTTTCTTCCCCGAATTACTTTGACAGAAAACTTAAGTAGATCAGTGGTTAGAGTACCTAGGAATAGTCTGAGATATAATATTCTTTAAGTTTCATTCTACACAACTACATCGTTTCACTCCATTAAACACATATCACTATTGTAAAATATGGAAATATCTACAACTGCGGAGAGAAAACTGATGAAATCAGAGAAAGAAAAATGTACTAATTGACATAAAAATGTCATTCATTTATATTTCATTTGTAATATGTGTTATATAATGTTTTGAATGGCTGGTTTCTGACGTAATACAATTTGAAAATTTCATTAAAATCAATTCTCAATGTGTCAATTTTCATAGCTTTTTATCATTGCTTTGCTGTACACTTCACAATAGTGATCTTGTAGGAAACTGCAGTGTGTACAAGGTTCATGAGACCCCAAAGAAGAGATTGCCGAGGATTGAAACGTTTCGTTGCAGTGTAGCTACAGAGTGCTCAAGGACGACAAAAGCGCTCTAACACTGAGCTCGCGCTTAGAAGTTCTGATGAGCCCTAGTTTTTCGCTGCAACTTTGAATGTTCGGCAGGCAGCGGTTCGCGCACTGAATCCGCTGGCTTAAGGGCGGAAGTGAAGTTTCCGCTGCTAACTTGATGACATTTCTGGGTTCTCAGAGGACGCAGGGACATCCAGGGGGAGACAATATAGATGCGCATCTGATGAGTGTAGGAGGCATTTTTAAAGGAGGTCATTGTCAATGGCCCCGCCAGAGGGAAAGTATGATTACATGATGAAAGTTGCAGTGGACCTTGAAGTATTTAGACATTTTTTATTCCGTCAAAAAAGCACTGCATTATGTTGCAGATTATTCACTAATGACGTAAGTAATTTTGCACTCTTACAAAATATTTTCCCTTGGCTAAAAAAATTAGGCTCTTTTACATACAAAACGACGACCTATTTTCATATTGAACCAAGTGTTACCGTCTCTTCGATTATTCAAATGCATAATGTTGTGTACTCATATCAATTCTAAGATTGATTGAAGTACATAAGGTATAAGTTTAATTAATTGTTCTCCCTTCATGCAATTAGAATTGTAAAGAAAGAAGCATGGAAGCTTAGTGTGAGGTTGCAAGTTGATTACAGGAGTGTTGACGCAGGGTTAATGTTACTTTTGTTTGTCTATAGTGTTCAGTGCATGTTCTTCCTTTTACATTATTTTAAAGCAAAAGAGAGAGTAGTGGGAGAATACGAGGGGGGGGTGACATATAACATACGAAGCCCTGCATTTAAAGGACGCTGTCCCCAAACAGTACGACGTCGCTCGGATTAACCGCCCACGCCAGCCTTTCTAAGCTACGCTTCCCCGATTGTTATCTAAGTATGACGTTGAACTGCAGGTGCCGTTTCTTCTGCCGCAGGAGCTGCAGGTGATCCACTACGGGCTGCAGGGGCTGGAGGCGCTGGCCTGCTACCGGGACTCGCTGCTGCGCGCGCTCTGCCGCACCGTGCGCTACGAGCGCCACGACGCCAACGACGTCCTCTACTAGTGAGTATCCCCTCTCGCCCTTCGGCACAGTCCTGCATGTCCTAAAAAACGTTTAAAAATGTTGCTTACTTCAAATCCCAAGTTTTTCGTACCATAAATCGCTTGGCGATTTTACGCGGATTAAGGCTGACTTGTGCATTGCATAGCGTCATTGACTGGGTAGATATAAACAAATAAGATGCTTATCTAATGTATGCTGTAAATTATTCATGAAATCCCAGCTTATGCAGTATTGATGAAGTAGACTTTTAAAGACCTTTCTGATCTTGTAAAAATAAGAATAGCGTTCCATTAAAAAAAGTTCGTCCAATATCTTTCAAATATGAAATTCTATCAAAAATATAACTACAATTCCCTACGACATGCGTCTATTGGAGAAAATTTTTGTCTCAGCATCTTGAACCGTTTAGAAAATATTCGAGGGGGACGTTTTTATTTAGTAGTTCTGTACGAATATATATTCTTGCAGGCATGTAACAGCTTTTCAAAATGAATTTGCGAAAATTTTGCTTGAACAGTCAAAAATGAATTGGTGGAAAATATTACGTCGTAGCGTAGATGACATGTATTAATGGTGTGTACGTTGTTTATAAGGTAAAACCTTGAAAAACGTTTATCTGCGGAATTTTATCATTGCCTTGCAAATTCTGTGTCCCTTTGACAATTTAAATGCGCAGGTAGTGCAAATCTAACTAGGTTAAAGGAACCTTGGCTAAGTAAGAAATGAGTCGGTGTTGACGTTTGATAAATTGACTATTTCCAAGTTCCTCTCTTCGTAAACGGCAACAATTTTCAGTGTCCTTCTGATGTTTCGTGAGTTTTCTCTTTGGTGTGGTTAAAACAATGAAATACGTAACAATCGTTAATACTAAGGGATAGCCCCATCTATAGCATTTATTTCTATATTTCAGACTTGTTTAGATTATTTGTAAACAAGAATTGCAGTTTCTTGGTTCAACCGTATTATCTTGTGAGTTTTTCATATTCTGAAAATAAATTATTGAATAGAAGTTATAAAATATTAACAGTGCTTTACGTTTTGATTGTTTTGAGAACGTCCAAAGTTAAAATGGCCCTTACAAATTCTAGGCAAAAAATTCCAAAACATTCCAAAAGTTTCAAACATTTTCAACAGGTGAGGAGAGGCTGTAAAAAGTTCAACAGAGCCGAAAGCTGAGCTGCACCACATACTGAAAGTAAAAAAGAGTATAATTCGTAATTGAGAAAGAATATTTGCACGTACAAATAGGCTTTTGTAGTATCAATAACGCTCTCAACTTTTTTACTCGATTTTTTAATCCTTCATCTCCAGACACACCTCGCCGACTTTCCGTTCACCCATTGTTCAATTTGCTACTACCTTTGCCCTCGAATGACGTCCTGGCCTCTCTGCCTTGGCTTGCGGTGTCCTCACTAGTGGCCACGAAGGCGGCTGCGGGGGGGGGGGAACTTCTCTCGATCCGGCGTTTGTTTATTGGCCTCACCGGGCGATCGGGCGGGCGCAGGCTGCGAAGCACTCGCCGTCTTTCGTGTTCTCTTAGCGAGCGTGGGCGGGGCGCGAGAGGGTGGGTTTGGAGGGGGGCGAAGGGGGAGGCGGCCGCCGTCGTCTCTGCCTTGCGGTTCATCCGCGTCATTCGACCCGGTGATCGCGCAGCGCCGAGCGGGGACGCGGGACGCGGCCGGCCGGCCGGCCGGTTTGCCTTGTGCGACATCACGTGCCTACTCCGCCCCGCTCGCAATTCATGCACCTGTGTTATTCAGCGCCCTGCTCTACAATAGCCTGCACCTCGTATCTTCTCCTTCGTGTCAATTGTCAGCCATTCGAAGCTAATTATTCAGAAACGCAGGATTAACTTGTGAGTTCGTGGAGAAGGGGACGAAAATAGGAATGAATGAGGAAGAAGGAAGTTCAAGATCTTCATTTCCTCATTACAAAAATTACATAATCCGAGGAATATTATTCAAAACAAATTCTAGACAATTTCAATTTTAAATAAATTATAGATTATTAAGATAATTGTCTTTGGATATTTTACAGGGGTAACTTCATATATATTTCTAAAATCGGTGGGGGTCAGAACCAGTCATTCACATCAGGACGTCACTATAACATTTTTGAATACTTTGTATACTTCCGTGTTCCATTTTTCAATGAATTCTATTGTTTTTAAAAAGTGCCCCGGATTGGATAGTCTCTTGGCCACTGTATTATCGAAGTTCTTACTATGACACCTGGTTCACAGAGGTCTATTATCACATTATGGATTTCCATGGGTGTTTTGTCAATTCTAAAAGTCAGGATCCTAATATATATGAGATATTGATGAAATATTTTTACGGAATAGTGTCGGAAAATAATTGACAAGAAAGATGAAAATGACGCCCTGGATCGTGTGATACAGATGTACCAACATACGAGGTATTAACATAGGTGTCGTAACTAACATCGCAATCCACATATTACTCATTAAAAACTAACCACCCTTAAAGATGATTTATATTTTGTGGACTTTTGTAGTGTGTTATAAAATGCGTTGTTTTAAATGTCATTTATAACCATATTTTACCATAATAGTCTGTGTGGTTTATATCACTTCCCGTTATAACTTTCTAACTTCACGATCCAAATATGATTGCATTGTGTGTGTGTGTGTGTGTGTGTGTCTATATATATATATATATATATATATATATATATATATATATATATATATATATATATGAATTGTTGCGGGATCCCAAGAGCATGAGTCAGATTATTGAGTTCGCGCTGGATGCGGGTGACGGAACGCTCTGGACTCCACCCCCTCCCGGACGCTATACTTCCGGCAACGTATTTGTTCTGTGTGTGTTCCCTGCAGACGGCGGAGCACATGCCCAACGGCCCAGTGTTAGTTTAAAATTTCAAATGCTATCTCAAGGGCACCGCGTAATCGTTTCAACACCTGGTGGCTCTTCGCCGCGAAATTTGAAAGGCAAATCTCCACGTAGTGTACGTATTTCCCGGTAGAGCTCAGCGCGCTACGAGCGCGTGTGCTGCGCTACAGCGGCGAGATGAGTTACTATCAAAATGGTCGTGTTCGCCCCGGCATCTGGCGGTTTGCGAGTGAACTTGCAAAGCTTTGTCTCCGTGCTGCTAGATGGCGAATGAGCATTTACGGTCTCGTGAAAGAGTGTCGTCGAACGGGAACTAAGCAATCGTTCACCAGTGAGGCCATTCATTCCTGAATCATTCCTACTTTTATTATCTACCCCACTGAGTGAGCATTTTTAAATACACTGTTAAGAACGCCAGTAAAATGACTGACGAAGATGTTAACTTTGAAACATCTGGTCATTTCGAAGTCCGTGCTTACCTGTATATCAATAATTATCATACAATGCATTGTTCGTGCTTCAAAGCATCATACATATTTATAATAAAGTTAAATCTTGGTATGAGAGGGTAGAAATAAATTAATTTCATTGTAAATGTTAAAAATATTGATTCCTGTGGTAAATTGAAGGGATGATAATAATAATTAAAGCACTGAGAGTTACCGTTTAATGAGAAATTTGAGTTTTCTACTCTTAACAAATTTTTACTTTAAATGAAAGCTGTTAGCTCCGAATGCGTTATCGCTTAATCTTGGGTAACAGTTTGCTCTAAAAATACTAAAATTTAATAGAAACGTTTAATTCAGTCAATGCCGTTTGATTATGTAAAAACGATTAATTAAACCTCCTTGGTGTGGTGCGGGCACGCGCGCGTGTGTGTAGGTTTTAGTTAGCCAAGTGACGGTGTCCGACAAGCGAGTGTGTTTAAATGCAAAGATTAATGAATATAGTTTACAAATTCCGGCAACCGTTGGGCACATGTGTCCCTTTACTAAAATTCAGTGATTTTTATTTATGTGGATGCAGTACATTCTAAAGTAAGGAAGGTACATTAAAAAACCATGAACAATTCTGTGTTAATAGTGAATGATTGTATTGTTCCAAAATTTGAGTTGACATTTCATTAGTCCTGACAAAAACTGAAGAAACTTCAGTACTAAATACCCGAGGAGACAGTATTTTGGGGATATTTGGATTTTTCCCTATTTGGACTTTTCTGTTTAACTTTTCTTTAGTTCTTTTTGTGCGAAGTAAACGCAAGGGTTCAGCCTGTTGTTGTTGTTGTTATTATTATTATTATTGTTGTTGTTGTTGTTGTTACTACAGTAAACCCTCATTAACACGAATTCCAAGGAACCGAAATAATCGCAGTTCCTGTTATAAACATTTGTGTTACTGAGTATTATTCGATTCAGTTAGTCTATACCGAAGTAAAGAGAAATAGTACAAATACATGGGAGCGTCAATAATGCCTTACGTCTGTCCAGTTATGTGCTTCAATAATCGTTCTGATATCCTTTCCCGTGGGAATTGACCGTCATTCTTGTGGGATTTCGCCCGCGATTTGTCTCCGGGGCTACTCCCGGGCACAAAAGAGCTCGTCCGCCGAAGAATGTGGAAGGGGCAGAAAGAAACGGCCGGCCACGCGAGGCCAGCGCGGGCCGCTCGCCAAGGTCGCCGCGCAGCGCTGCTCGGTGGCGGCGGAGTCCAAAAGCAGGCAAAAAGCGGCTCCGCCCCGCCCCCCCCCCCCCTTCCCAGCCGCTCTGCTTCGTTTTCGCCGCGCGTACATAGCTCCGCGCGCTCTGTTTTTGCGCTTCTGACACACAATGTGCGTCTACAATCAATGCATCATTTGTTGTGCACGCTGGTAGAAGGTATCCAGTGAAACAAGGTTTAGTGCGTTTTTAAACTACAGTTGAACCTGCTGAAATGGTCACATATGTTAACGGCCATTTTTTTCGGTATGGATTGATTTTTTCGTAAGAAGCATGTATTGCTCTTTTCATCAGACGTCATCAGCGTGATCCCTTAGTCAGTGGCCATTGATTACCCATAGATGCAGGTTATACCTGTATTCCATACATAAATGACCATTCACAGATTAAACAGAATTACACAGTCACAACTTCCTGACGATTTCAAGGAGCTTCAAGTCTGGTTGACATACAAGTACGAGAATGATAAAAAACATCATAACCAAACAGTGGTGTGAAAATAAGAGTTTAGAGAGCTAAGAATTAAATTATTCAATTGCCCACGCGCAACTATTCTTCCTTTGTTCCACTTATTCTTAGTTTGTACCTAAAGTATTATTAAAAAGATGGCAACTAACTTTATTAGAAGTATCAAAATAGATCCGCTTCTGTATATACCTCCATTATCACGTACTATCTTCTTAGTAATATGAGTGTTATTGTTTACTACTGAAAATCTGTCTTTGCCAAGCGACAATCATATAGTTATTGTATTGCTATCCCCAATATACCTCAATGATTTAAGCTATGAAGGAAAGTTAAAAGTTGGCCCGTAAATAGCTACATCAAATCTTTCTTTAAAAAAGGCAAGAGGGGGACACCGCCATTTTCAAAATCAGTGATATGACACGAACCCATAGTTCACTAGTAGTGTGAAAAGAAATAACACTCCATATTGCTTTCCTTTTCTCTTATTTCCCAGACGTGACAACGAATGGTGTGATGTAGGGACGCCATTTCGCAAAAAATCGTGGCAAAGGCCAAAAAAGAAAATGAATCAGGGATAGCATCAAAACATATTATTTCTGAAGGTCTTAAATTCCACTGTTTAATGGCGAAATACGTTTTAAGTTTTCGAGGACATGATACTATATCACAAAGTTCTTAATATTCAATTTTCCAAAAAATTTGGAAGTAATATAAAAATTGTTTTTAACTTAGAACACTATTTTTTGTCGCGTGCTGCTGAGTTTCTCATGTTTCTAATACATACGTGCTGTAGTGTTATATATTTTCATCGTTTTCGTTTATCGTACTAACGCCGATGTACGAATAGATGGCGGTGGTGTAACGGTTAGCGTACTGGACTGTTGTACCCTAGTTGGCGCGGACTCAAACCCGATCGAAGCGTGGATTTTTAAGGGCGAGAAAATCCTTCATTCCCTTCCTTCGGAGGGGAAGTAAACGGCTGTCCCATGTTCGTAGATTTACTTGCAAAAGTATACTTGTAAAAAGATCCTTAAGGCTAAATGACGCCTCTGAGCTAAATTCCAATTGCCTGTTTCTCGCCCAAGAAATACCTCCTTTCTCTCCTAGTGTGAAAGAGCGTAGGAAATTTGCGTGGTCAGACGGAAGAGCGGGCCTGATGGCCGAGTCTCGCCACGTAAAATAAGGCAAATTCAAATCAAATCAAATAGAAACAATTTATCCCTTATGTTATTGTAACAGTAAAATCTTGTGACCATTGACTCGCGCTTTTGTAGTATCCTCCGGGTAAACCAACGAATAACATCTCTTCATTAACGAGCCCGTGAGTTAAATAAAACGTAAATCTGCTTTGGAGCCTGCCCAGGAAAAGTGATCACACTACGCTAATGCATGTAACATTACATAATAATATATATTGAGTGTGCGGGTAATAAATAATACGCCCAAATGAGGATGTTACTGTCATCAATCGTCTGATAAACATTGCGGCATTTACATTGAATTATTGACGCAATGTTAATTAGTTCTTCGACTTCGACTTTCTGCTCCGCCATAGCTCATTGCCGCAGCCCGACCCCCAGCTTCCAGCCCCAGTTGCCCAAAGGCCGGCCGAGGTCGGGGGGCACGCGATTACGGCCTGATAACACTCGCATACCCATGTTTGGGAATCTCGTGCGACCGCCTCAGTGTTAATGTGGAGTTCCCGATAAGCCTTACCCTGGAAGGAAAAGAATTTCTACGGAAAAACTGATTCGATACAGAAAGGAATGTAATGTACTGTGGAAAAATACTATCAGGATATATTTTCATTCGTTCCGCTAATTGCCAGTTTGTACAAAAAATGAGTAGGAGTCTCTAAATAAACTGTAAATCGTAAAAACAGTATGGTGTATGAAATTAATTTTAACTGTAATTCTTCAGAAGCAAATATACCTTCTTACGTTCGGCTTCTCACATTTACATTCTTAAAAGTGCAAATACAGATTTTCAAATGAATATGTCTAACTGCATTCTTATTAAACTTATGGAAATATAAATAATATGGAAGTGTGAAGCAAATACGGGGAGGAATGAAATGTGGTAGTAGAAGAATTTACGGCAGAATTTTCGGAACTAATTGAGAATTATCGTATTAGAGAATAACGCTGAAGACCAGCTTAAAGATGATTATTATGCATTTTATACATGGATTAGCAAAAATACAGTTATACTAAATTCTGACTATTCAGCATCATGCTTACCTGTATGTCTTTTTTACGGGGTTTATAATTTTGAAATTGCAATATTGCCAGTTCATATCCGCGATGTAAGTAACACACAAGGTCATTCGGTGTTCGGATTTTTGAAGAGGAGTACAACATTATCTTCTACTACAATTTATCGGTATGTCCAATGCCAGAGATTGAAACAACGTATTTGAATAAAGCAATGCATGATATACATTTTAAACACATAAAAATACTTTTAAA